CCTACCAGACATTTGCAGTCAGCAACCCTGGGCCCCACTCACAGCAGAGCCTGAGAGCGCCCCCTTCCTTACTTCCTTCTCACTGAGGTGAGACACGGCAGCACAGTCTCTACGGGACCTTGTCTCTGTCTATGGGTCGTCTTAAAAATAATATTAATAGCATACTTTTAACTTTTATTGTTTTAAGATACAGAATGCCATACGTAGTTCAAGGCAAGCCTCCAGCTCATCATCCTCCTGCCTGAGTGCCGGCATGGAAATGATGTGTACCACCTGGCCTGCTTTCAAAACAGTTTGACACATACAACTGTACAGATGTATGGGGCGCAACATGACGTTTCAAAACACATATATACTCTGTACTGATCAAATGAGGGTCTTGGCATATTCATCTCCTCAAATATTTATCACTTCTTCAGGAAGCATTGAAAGGCTTCTATTTGAAATATCTACTGCTTTGGACAGCCGCTGGCCTACTGTGCCAGAGGACACTGGGCCGCACTCTTCTGCCCACCTGTACCTCTGAATTCACTGGCCAGCCCCGCCACCTCCTCCCCACTTGTTTCCCTTCCAAAATGGCTCCTACATGGCTGTTTATATAGTTATTTATAATGCCTAAGACCTACACACACACACACCCCAACAAAACTGTAGGCTACACTAACATTTATGCAGATCAGAATAAAAACATAGACCAGAACCTGAGTTTAAAAACTGAGAATGAGAAAGACTGCTAAGACTGGCGGGGGGGGGGGGGGGGGCGGACAAGAAACACAAACAGTTATACACGTGCATACGTGTACACACAGACGAGAGAGCTGGGGAAGAAAGAATTGGAGAGCATAGCTTCATTAGACCCTGAGAGGCAGGCAGTGGCAATATACCAAGGTCACTTCTAATTTAGACCATCTAATTGGCAAACAGGCTCCAAATGGCTATCATCTCACAGGGCTTGGAATTAATGAAGCCCGATTATTTTCATTACCTTCCTCTGAGACTGAGACAGTGAAAGAGCCGATGCGCTGGTGGGTGTGAGAGCCCCGGGGCCAGGGGGAGCAGAAGAGCCCCCTTGTGGGGGAGGGGGGAGCCTGCCCCTGAGATCCCCACATGCATGGCGTGGAGAGAGTCAGAGATGCTGTTTAAAGATCACAGGAGACAAAACTATTGTCCCCGGAAGAGAGGCTGAGAGAAAACCCCAGGCGAGGCAGGGCCAGAAACACAGGAGGGACATCTGGGCGTGTATAAAACGCGGAATAATGGTGGACCAGGAAAGAGGAGGAAGAGGGAGGGCGACAGGAAAAGGTGTTCCTGGCTCAGCCTCACTGCAGCTGTGAGGTCCCATTTTGTTAAGTGATTAAGGAACAAAGAAAATGTCCCCATATGAATGATCTAGAATCCCAGGGCTATGTCCTGTCACTTAGAAGACACTGGTCAATTAGAATGATTTAAGAGTATTGAAATGCCTGGTGGGTGGTCTTTCCCATTCTTATTTAGGACCAAGAAACACGTGTCCCTGGGTGTTCATCCTCCTCCACCCCCCAAAGAAGGAAAATAGAGGGACAGGGTAGAAGTCCCATGGTTTCCCTCAATCTGAAGCCTCGGCGGGTCTGGGAATAAGACCTGGTTTCTTGAAATCAACACGGGGGTGGGGGTTGCCCAGCCAAATGCAGAGAGGGGCCCTTGTCTCATCGCCCTGCAGCTGGAGAGATTCCCCTCCTCTCCTCAGTAAAAAGATCCTCTTTGGGCTGTGGCCACCAGGCCACGCAGAAGTGAGGGGCTGTGGGTGCGGCTTCCACAGTGGAGGGCCGGGGCTGCAAACCTTGCCAGCGGAGAGCATTTTCCAAGCCCCCTCCATCAGTAAAAAGAAGGGGACCCATGGAAGACATAGATATGAGATGCAGAGCATAAGCAAGCAGCTGTTGCCATAGCAACAGACATATTAGACACTGCAGGTTCCTGAAAGCTGTCTGATAAGGTATTATTAAATGAAGCCTCCTCAAAACACTCTCCACTTACAACGGAACGGAAAGACACTGCACACAAAGTCACCTACTTCCATTTATCAGGGCAGAATTTACTCTCAGATGGACTGAAACCCAATACAAGCTACTTCCTGGGACTGAATAAAAATTCTTCAGAACGCCTAGCTTCAGATACCCTGGTTGTGTCCTACATCCACCGGGAGATGGTGAATCTATCTGGGAGCCTTTGCCAGCGGTTCCTATTCTGCAGCCAAAGCTGCCTGCCTGAGCTGCTCTGCTCACTGCCGTTTGCCCTGCCGTCCAGGATCCGGAAGACACGACACAACTTTCCTCCTCTTGGAGGCTGAGTGAGCAGACACGCTGGCTACCCCTTCATGGGGAGACCCAGGAGGCTGACTTGGTGAAGAGACACCCTCATCACACCGCTTTCTGAGTGCCTGCTCCACTTGGCTACGCACAAACAGATAAACTGTCAGGAAGCCTAACCAGTACTTTCCCAGGGCCAATTTTCTAATAAAATTACTGTAAAATACCCTTCAGGGGCAGGATTTCCAGCCACAGGTTCATTAGCATCACTTAGTTGAGGAACGACGGCAAATTCTGTTCTAACACCAAACTTTTCACAAGAACAGCTCTGGCACCGGGCCAAGACTAGGAGCCTGGTCATGAACGAGGATTCTGGGTTCGCCCTAGAGATTGGCTGCAGACCCCCTCAGTACTGGTGGTTCATCTGCTCGGGATGGAGGAGTAAACACATCACTTGTGAAACCATCCTCACGGTCGGTTCTTCCGGTCCCTGGGACAGCCGCGACACGACTCCAGCTTCCCAGGCAGACAGAGGCACATTAAAGCACCCCCACACCGTGCTTTGAAGTGGAGGGAGGCACTTAGACACTCGCATCTCTCATGCATCCTACGACTTTCAACTTCCCTTCACAATCTATTACCCACCGATACCAGCAAACTCATTTCCTGGAACCAGCATGTTTCCCATAATTTGCACACTTCTCAGAAACGTCTAGAAAACATCTCTATTGTCTTTGGAAAAACGAGGCACGTGGGGTTTCTATGCAAAGTATAGGGTTTGAGGCAGTGGTTTCTCCTACACAATCTCACCAACGGGGGTTCGAGAACAAGCCAGGCAGCTACTTCACCCAGGGTATCGTGTGTTCCCTGACAATGTCATGCATGCTTTTGCATCTGCTCACTGCAATCAGGAGGGCCCCTAACAGGGCTTACTGAGTTTTAGTGTGCACAGAGCAGGCTGGGGTGGCTGTGGGCTTGTTTTCATTGCTCTTTAAAAGGCTGAAAATCACTTCTCAACAGAGTGCTATTTAGTGGGTAACGTCTAGAACTACCTGAGAGATTGGGACCCAAGCGAGACCGCAGTAATAACTGCCCTTGAAGATTCCACTGGCAAAGATTCATAGCGATCATGAAAATTACCACTTAAAATTTGCCTTTCTGGTTCTGTTAATGAAACAGGACCACCTAAGCTGGCTGGTGGTGGCGCACACCTTTAATTCCAGCACTCCAGAGGCAGAGGATCTTTGTGAGCTCAAGGCCAGCCTGGTCTACAAAGTGAGTTCTAGAACACTCAGGTCTACACAGAGAAACCCTGCCTTGAAACACCAAAATAAATAAATAAAACACAAACATGAACAACACTGGGTATCTGGAATACAACTTACATAGTAGAGGGAGGAAAAACTCTATTTTACCATCTAATGTATACGAGGCATGGAGATTACTTCAGGTCCACGGTTGCTATACTAGATTCATATTAAACAACAAAAACAACCGTCCAAGTAGAAGAAAAATGTAGCTAAGTAAAGAGAATGTTATTTCCCATGCCTCTTCTTGTTCCTTCAGTTTCCAGGGTTCTAGGCATGCAGAAAGTGAGATGAGGCCTGGGAAAAACCCTTCTTATTTCCACAGCTGGTGGGAATTGCCTGGGAAACCTGCCATGCAGAAACCCTCACCTACCCAGGAGGAAGACCCAATCCACTTACAGAGAATCTTTCCCTGGGATTTGCCAGCCTATCTGAAAATGCCCATGGAAAATAAATTCACTCTTGAAAGCTCAGCCTATGCTACTTCAGAGTTTTCCATTGGCTGTTTCCCGTTCTCTTGGTATGTCAATCATCACGACTAAACATCCTTACACAACACGACTCATTAATTTTACATAACCAAATGGAATTGGAGATGCCCTCAAAGTGATGGGCCTGCAACCTGCCCGTTCAACACGGGACTCAGAACGGACTACGTCTCTGGGAATTTCCACATGAACCATCAATTGTGTCGGCTTGTTCTCCCACTGCTGGACCAATGCTCCTTTAGAGGTGGGGATAAGCTCTGCTGTTTCTCCCACAGTGACCAGAAAGGACTTTCCTAGCTGTCCTAGCATAGCCGAAAGTATGACATTGCTACCAGGTACAGTGTTTTGAAGTTTTCACACTATGGTCAGTACTGATCTTTCGGCCATGTCCATGAGGGCCATTAAGAGTTAGCCTTTCAATGCATGCGGGCACAACAGTCCCATGTCCAGATGTAAAGCCAAACGGATGACTTTCCTCCTCTGAGAACAACTTGAGAAGGTCCCACACTCCAGCATCATACCCAGAAGTGAAACACGTGGGTTTGAATCTCAGCTGACAAGTGACACATGGGGTTGAGTGACTTTGTTAAGACTCAGTTTCCCCATCTGTTCATGGGGATGTGTCAAAAATTCTTCAAATAGAGTTGGCTTTGAGGGTGAAAAAGGTCATAATGAATGGGGGAGCCAGACAGACCCCAGACCATGCAATAAAGACCTGGAGACTGAACCATGACCTCTTGAACCGGGGCCACAACCCTGCCACACTGATACCAAGTGCAAGATGAGAACCGCAAAACCTTGGTCACGGAACTGGAACAATCCCCTCACCCTGGCTTTCTTGGCCAACAGGCAGATCTTGCTCACGTGACTGCCTGGCTTTTGACCTCTGAAAGAAGGAGAAGCACAGGCCACCTTACCGTCATAATGAGCTTCTCCACGCAGTCGGGGGCCACACTGTGGAGGTGGGTGAGGTGCAGCTGGAGGTGGATCTTGTTGTTGAGCATGTCTTGGCACAGGGGACAGCGGAGCATGGGCTGCACCGAGTGCTGCGTCATGGCGTGCACCCGCAGCCGGTTCACGTCAGCGTTGCTGTACTTGCAGTAGGGACATTGGTACATCTGTGGGGACACACCCGCCACTCAGACCGAATCCTCTGTTCCCTCCCAGAATGGTGTCTGGTCCTTCCCCAAGCACCATGAAATTCATTCCCACCAACATCGAAAATAACCACACCCAAACAGCATTCACTCCCATCAACATCTACGGCACCCCACGCAGCACCTAAAGCTCTCCCCCACTACAGCAGACCCCTCTGGCCTCACCTGTTCTGGTTTGACCTCTTCTGATGTCTTTGGCCTCTTCGAAGAGGGTGGAGTCTCGGAGCTACCTGGGAAGGAGATGCGCTTGGAGGATGCAGGAGACTCTGTCAACTCCTTCTCTGCCTGACTGGACGGGGCTATAAAAAAAGAAAAAGTAGAAGATGCAATACCGCAGCCAGAGCAGGTCGTCTGGAGGGGGCTTTGTGCTGCACTCCGGGATAGCACAGGAAGGATGGCTTACCATGCACGCTGGGAAAGCCCTGTGTGCTTCTCCCCGTCCCACCCCCACCCTGCCCCGTGAATTCCTGTTACTCCCTTAACAAGTGAACGTTGGACAGAGAAGGAAAGAACACCAGTAAAGGGCCCTGGTGTCAGGCTGGTCTAAATTCGGTCTCTTCCAACGTCCCACTATCTAAACAAAGTGTTATAAGAGGTTGGGGGAGAAAGGGACAGGTGGCGAAGTCTCACCAAATGCTTCATTCACCAGCCTGAGGACCAGACACACCATAGAACTGAACAGCTATGTGCTCCCAACTATACGGTCGCACTTCTAGGGATCGCGACATTGCCACAGGCTTAGTGGACAGCTGCATATTAACATGTTAAAACTTCAATCCAGGTTCAGCGGTTTGCTTGGGGGGGTAGGTAACTGAGGACTGCAGTGAGCGAGGGCGTGGCCCCGAGGTGCGACTGAAGCGGCTCTGCAGATGCTCAGGGTCTTCAGAGTGACTGGAAAGAGGCCAGTGCCCTTCCGGCTCACAAACCATTACAAGCCATATTGCCCTTGCCTGCGCTGCTAAAAGCCAAACCAAGGCCCCCAGACAATACATGCAGAAGGGCACATGAAGCTTGACTATCACATAGTAGGGACAGAAAGGCCGGCAGAAGGATTTGCAGGAAGCAGAGAGAGGGACCTAGGAGATCTTGGTGAAGACATAACTGGGCTCAAGGTTGAATGGGGAGAAGAAGGGCTCCTCTAGAGCAAACAGAGATTCCTCTGTGGCTGGGTTTGCTCATCCCAATCCTCCTTGCCAATGAAGGATGTGAAATTCCACTTTTTCCAGAATGTTGCTTAAAGCAGTACATGGGAAAAAAAAACAAAACAAAACAAAAACCAAACCGAACCCCAAACAAAACAGAAAATGGGAATCCATATTTGCCAGTGGTGAGGTTGTAAATTAATATATTCATTACGGAAATGTGGTTCCTCAAAGAGAAGTCAACTTGAGGTTCCTCAAAGAATTAAAAGTAGAACTCCCATATGCCCCAGCTAGTTGTTCCTGGGCACACACCCAGAGAAGTCCATACCTGACCACCGGGGTGTGTGCACCCTGGTGTCTATGGCTGGCTGTTCACTACAGCAAGGGAATGGAACCAACCTAGCTGTCCATGAGCAGGTGGATGGATAATGGAAATATGGTGCATATATAAAATGGGATGCGATTCGTCGCCAAAGAAAAAGGAACTCACAAAATTCACAAGAAAATAAATGGATTTAGACCGTGTAATATTAAGCCAAGTCATCCAGTCTCAAAACCAAAGCTATACGTTCTCTCTCACATACAGATCCGAGCCTGTAACATGTATGTGAATATATGTGAACAGATGTACATGCAGGCACAGAGTGAGGCGGGGAGGAGAATAAGAGAGGCAGACATTAGATAATCAAGGGCAGGATGCAGATAAAGGACACATTCATCGCCATCGTCTTTCTATTTCTAACTCTGTTGCGGGCTTTTTCAGCCTTCTGTAGCGGCGAAGAGCAGAAAATGCAATCGACAGCAAAAGTAGGAAGTGAAGCCCCCCCCCCCCCCCCCCCCGCACACAGCTTCAGAACGGCTGCTCCAACTGCGACGTTGACAGCCGCGTCTGGACTGGGTCTGGGCAAGAGCTTGTGTGAGTGGCTGCCGATGCTTTCCATCTGCAAGCTCTTAGAAATAATTTTATATAAAAAACTGAAAATGTGCACTACTGCCATTACAAACGATATGCCTCAGCATTAAGTCACTGTGTTAGAAAGCCCAAGGTGTACTCCATGGTAAAACAGATTTCTGTCTCACTCTGTCTGTTATCTGACATGTACTTTCCCTTTATATTCGGCCCTGAAACTGCTTCTGCTGTGGACCTGAAGGTACTGTCATTATAGGTGCGCTTTCTTAAAAATCTGCATTGTATTAAATTTTCTTTACTTATTGTGTGTGTGTGTGTGTGTGTGTGTGTGTGTGTAGCACATGCTTGCATCATGCGCACGCGTGTACATGAAGACCAGAGGGCAGTTTGCTGGAGCTGGTTCTCATCTTCCAACACAGGGGAACCTGGATTTTGAACTCGGGTTGTGAGGCTTGTTGGCAAGTGCCTTCACCCACTGAACTGCATACTTCAATAATAAATTATTCTTAAAAAATAAATTTTATTCATTGAAATCATAAGGCCATAAATTTTTTTTGAATTGCCAAATACAAGAAATATTCCAGGAAGTTGAGGCTCTTCCCAGAATGTATATTTTGTGACCTTTAACCCTGGTATCTTGGTAACCTGGTCTCCTGAAGTTTGCGGGGCATCTATTATTCAAAAAGTACAAGGGCAGACATATTACACACAGACCCCCCCTCCTCCCAGCACAGATTCATAACAGTATTTTAATCTGTCTCGGATCGACTTCAAACCCATTCTGCTCTTAATGGGAGTTATTCATTTTCAGCTGAAAGGTGATACGTGACGGCTGGATATTTGATGTGATGGACTGGCTGCTGATTAACTGGGTGCTGTAACGTAGTCCCCCGTGGCCCATTTCCCAGCTCCTGGCCCCCAGCAGGCCCTGACGTGTCACAGCCCCAGCATGAACACTTCCCCAGCTGCAAGAGTTCCTTCAGCCACGAGCAGGTTCCTCATCCCCCCCCCCCGCCCCCCACTATTCTTCACATACACGCTACAGACGGTGAGCGGAAGCCACGGATGGTATGCTCTCTACAGGCTTGCTGCCCATCCGCTGCAGGGTGGCTGACCCCCTGACCCCCACTGTTAGAGAAAACTGGCGGCCCGTAGCTTCTCAGTTGGGGATGGGAGCTCATGAGCTTCTTCCCATTCCCTACTAGAATGTTGACTGGCTGCATCTTGATCAGGCTTTGCGGCGGCAACCACACCTGCTGTGTGTTCATGGCTGCGGTGGCTCCATCATGTCCAGAAGATAGTGTTTTGCTTTCGCCTCATACCCAGAAGTACACAGACGGCACAGATTGGAGTCAATGGGAATGGGGACGATGATGACGAGGACGACGAGGAGGTGAAATAATAGCATAGGACATGAAGTTGGGAGGGGTGGGAGATGGAGTTGGATCTTAGGGGAGCTAAAGGAAGGAGTTGAGGGTGAATATTATCCAAATACATTGTATGAAATTCTCAAAGAATTCCTAAAAATACTTTTAAAGCTTGGTTGTTCCAAGTCATCCTCTTTGCGCCCATAGTTCCATCCCTAAGTGGTAAGGCATTAGAACTTCCGCTAGAAGAAGGGAGCCTCCTTCCAGCAGAGGCAACCAAGATACAGGTGCTACTCCTGGTGCCCATCCCTGCCCAGTTGTGTGTTTGCTATGGGACAGTGGTACGACCGACCCACTAAAGGCCTCCACCACTTGCCGCCCCGCCACGAGAAGAGACGATTGGCTGGCTGCTCAGCAGTGTGAATGAATGGGCAATGAGACCGAGACCAGCCAGCCCATCTCAGTCTCTCAGAGGCTGAAAAGCAAACACCAGGGCAACCTCAGCTTCCCTGAAGGACCAAAGAGTCCATCCTCTTCCTTCAAGTGGAACACAGGAAGGGTGGTGAGGCGGCAGAGGTGAGAACTCTCGAATCTGAAGCTACTATTCCTTCCCGTGGTATGGTGGTGGTGGGGATCTTTGCTGCCCTTCTCTCCCCACAAACCCCCAACTGCTCTGGGATCCTAAAGCTTCTTCTGCCACATTGAGCTACAGAGCTGTTACAAAGGGTTTGAAAAAAAAAATCAAAGCAAATGGGCACATGGGCTCCCTCAGTCCTCTTTCTTCCCAGAAACACAATAGTCTGGCTATGTATAAAATATTATACCTACAGGTACACAAACCTCCAGCTTATCTTCTTTCTACCCAGGACAACTTAACATTATTACTAAATAAAATCTGCCCAGAAGTGGACATTAGACCCTCCCCCAGCTTATCAAGTCCTTTATTTAAAAGAAAGGGAAGGAGAGAGGGAGGGAGGGAGGGAGGGATAGAGGAACAGAGAGAGAGAGAAGACAAGTATGTACTCAGTCTCCTGTATGTACTGGAAAGTGTGGGGAGACTGCTCTTCAGAGTCAGGCCAAATAGATCTGACACTAGCCCCTCCCTCACTTGACCTCGGACATAAAATCCAATCCCTAGCAAGTCTAGGTTAGAACTCTTTGTATAATTTCTGCATATATCCAACAGTTCTCCATCAACATGAGAAGAGGAGAAGGTGTGACCACCAGGAGAGAAAGGACTATGGTTCACTGCTCTGAAGACATCTCTAAATTCTATCTTAAACTCTAGAAAAGGGTGTTACAATATAGAAAACACCATTTAAAAAAAAATCAATGGCTGGTTACTCTTAGTCTTCTCTGATGTCACGGCAGTGAGGAGGAGACAGATGGACCTTGGAAACATGGCTTCCACCATCAGTGCGTGGAATCTTTGCAGCTAACGGACAGCACCAACAGAGACTACCTGACGTCATCTTTATAAGAATGATTAAACGAAAGCGAAACAACCAAGCCAGGCATGGAGGCATAGCTACTTGAAGGGCAGAAGCAGTAGGACTTTGTAGGTTTCAGCCTGAGCAACTTAGCCAAACTCTGTCAAAAATAAAGCCCAGGGGAAGTGGCTCGGGGTGGAGGGCTTGCCTAGCATGTGCCAGACACTCAATTCCTAATACCTGGGCTGGGGATGAGGAAATAAACGAGCAAAAACTGGGTATTATACAACAGGGCACGATCTAGTAAGTGACTACACTGCCATTCCTGTGTGTATTACAGATATTAAAATGATTGCTATGAAAAAAATCAGAAGTACAGGTCAGAGAAGATGAAATGCACATTATATTCTGTTATAGGTAAACCATAAGAATTGGAGGGAAAAACAGAAA